GGTCAACCCACTTTTAACTCTCAGGGAGCTTCACACGATGAAGACAGCTACGTAACTGTCTAAGCCAACCGTCTCTGGCCCAAACAAGCATGAATATTATGGCGAAGCAGGCCTGTCTCAAGGGTCCATGAGAAGCAGCAATTTGAAGCATTCTTTATCGGTCCCAGGGACACAATGCAAAAATGTTGCATACTTGCAGCAATTATGCTCCTTGGGTTAAAGGTCTTTCAGCAAAACCAGCAACACTTTCGCATCCTTCTGAAAATTCGTTTAGTACTCTCAAGCGATTTCGTTCTTGGGAATCTTTACGAGAGCCTGCCAGACTATAGCTACATTCCATCAAAATGCTCATTAGAAGGTACATGCTAAACGGAGGATGACGAGTCTGTCAGAAGAGGGATGAGATTCCGATTCGCACGTGGATACAGTTGCAACGAACGGTTGCCAAACTGCAAGTTTGTTGAAGAGATTGCAGAATTTGCTCTAAAGCCTCAGAGCACCGCCGAAGAGTGTCCTGACTTCCCGGAAATTTCAGTTGGTTCAAAGAAAATTCTTGACCTCTCAACGAAGGCCTCTGCATATGGCCCGACCAACGGTGTACTCTCCGAGATGCACTAAGTGAAGTCAAGTCAGCTATCAGACATTAAAGTACCAAGTTACCCCGGTGAGGTATTTGTATCTTGGGGCCGAACGGGAGTAACTTTTAGTAAGGCACACTTCTAAGAATGACTTATTTAGTACAGAGGAACAGATTTCGAAAAAAATTTATGAGCAAGTTTCAGGTTTAGACTTAAACTGCAAAAATGCTTTCTAGGATAGACTGCATATATTAGACTCAACTTACTAGGCCACAGAGATTAGACTGCAGTATTTGACTTTGGCTGCTAGAAAGATCTTCCAGGGCGCTTGACCAAACTGTGTAAGCAGAGCCCTGAACCACGTTAGACGTCACATTGAGCCAAATAGTATCTGATACAAAATTAAGAAGCAAAGTGAAGGATCTTTTCAATAGAAAAATAATTTATCTACCTAAACTGCTTACAGTCGGTTTAATACTTTAATAGTTTCCAGCTCATTAACAGATCCCATGACTATACTACTTATCGACAAATTGAGTAGTTGATTGTTAGTTGAAGCATAAGCAAAGCTAGTGTATATTTCGAAAGCATACAAGTGCACCTGGACTCTTGTCAATGAAATCCGTACCACACTGAGCTTGATCTAAATTCTTTATACCCAACGATTTATTGCAAACCCTTGTCTCTTCGTAGAAAAAGTCCTTCGATTCGCCCATTCTTTGGTCAGTATGGTAGGCTTTATGACAGTCCCCATGTGGCTGAAAAATGCTGCTTTGGTGTAAATAGAGCTAATTTCAAGAGGCTACATCACTTTTTAGTTTTCAGGATAAGTGAATTTAAAAAACCCAGGTTACGTGAACATAAATAAGCATCTTTTATAAGCCTACTTATTGACGAGAAAGAAATTGATTATATAATGGAATTTAACAAAAACTACGTAATAAATCAAAAAAGAAGAATCATAAAAAGCCTGGCTATAATAAGTTTACCTCAAACAAATATAAAAAATCACAATAATGCAAAGTAACGACGGACGGGAGTAAGATAGAGCTAAATGCAAATATATAGAATCTGAGGCAGATATCGATGAGGATAATGGAGTTTAATAAGTGTCAAACTGAATGAGATGAAATAAAAGAATAAATAATCCATATGGAATGGCATATCTGTCGTGTGTGATGATAATTATGTTGACGAATGAGGCAGAATAGGACGATAGCTTAGGGTAATGATTAAGCTGAAGATTGTGCATGAATTCTTCTATAGGCCTTTAGATTCCTGTATATCTGTTTGGCAACATTTTCAACAAATGTAAGCCCTAAAAATGTATCCCAAGGCCGTGACTTAGCCACGTATTACTGATTTTTCTTTTCCGAACTTC